TGTGGACATTCCGCATGCCTGTGGACAAAATGCTAACCATTCACTGGGTACGGCATGTGGGGAATGTGGCTAGAATGTGGGACATACACTTGACATACAATTCCTACCTAGTGAAATTCCAGGAAACCCTTGGGACATTGTGGAAATTGTACAGATTGACAAGACTCCCATGATGTTCATGAAGTCGGTACAGATTCACAAGACTAAAAATTCTTGTGAATCTGTACCGACAGTCTTCTGAGCTCTGCTGCATTTAAACAGGTACTATTATTATGATATCTTTCTCTTCTATTATAATAATTGAGAAGTTTATTGCAAATTCATGCCCAGAGGCTAATCGTCAGTTACAAACATAAAAGGACATTGAAGAACAGTATATAAAATAACTAAAATCTACATGATGAAAGGTAGTTGTCTAAAATTGTAGCTATGTCTAAAACTATGTCTGAAGGGTTTGACTTCCCTTTTGAAAACTGTAGAAGCTTCGAAGACATCATCAGTGCATATCTGTAAGTCTCCTTCTCAGCATTTCCCCAACATGTTCAGATTCACAATGTGATCGACTTTACTCACAGAAGTAATTCTAAAATGTCTTTAGAGGTTGTAGTTTATTCACCTGGAAGGCATGTGGGAAAGGAATGTGAGCAAAAATTTAGGACTTCCACTTGGAAGGCTTGAAGACTTCCACTTGGAAGGAATGTTGTAAGGCATGTGCGAATGCATGGAAGCAAGAATGTAAAACTTCCACTTGGAAGGCATGTGGGAATGGCAAGAATGTAAAACATCCACTTGGAAGACATGTGGGAATGAGGGCCAGAAAGTAGGACATCCATAAGACTTCAGCGCATGTGCAGACAGGCATTGACGACATGCCACAAATCCCTAGGGTTTACAGCGCATGTTAAGAATATCATTGGTTTATTTCAAACACAAATCACAATACAGCTTTATCACTAGCTGGCATAGCAACCATACCACTATATGTCCCACCGGTTTTCAGCGCATGACGAAGGGCAGGCATTGTACAAATTCCACGTTGTTCCAAATCGAACAGCTCCCGAATGAAACGTCGTTGTTCTCATCAGGAGAAACCACACCACCACTAAGCGCTTAAATCGTAAATGGTAACAACACATCTGAGTAACCTACAATTTAAAGACGACCACCCGCGTTTCACGGACTGGACTTGACAGTTACAGGATATATTGCTGAGGTGGCTAAGAAAATGGAACTGGGCACGCAGAGGACCAACGTTCTGGGCGGAAATAGTTCACATAGGACTGTGTGACAGCCGGAGAGGAATTATTGTGCAAGCCAAAACTGATGATCTTGGGCCTGAAAAAAAGGTTTCCCTTCTACTAGTTTTAAAAAAGTAATCACATGGCAGAAGGTGCGAATGACCCCTTGCAGTTGTCGTTTTTGGGTGGTATTTTTTCTAACCGGAGGCCTTCCGCAAGCACCCTATGGCCAGGCAAACTTAAGGTAATGTAACAGGAAATCCATTTAAGGCTAAATAAAGCCGTACAAAACACCTGTGTCGATGGTCTTACAGAAGTACAAATCTCTCTCTGGTGTAGATAGTATGCAGATGTATTGTCATATATCATACATGATTAATTTTACGGCATACTTAGGACTGCATGCACAAAAAAACTCTAAAATACATGTGTACTTCTACATTGTCCTATAACAAAATTGATCTAGTCAATATATTTGGTTATGCCAACCAACGTCAACAACCTATCAATGTCAACCTCTGATGTGTACAACATATACGTAAGTGCATTTATGTTCGTGAGGAGTTAACTTCGCGATATACCTAGCCTATCCTAGCTAACTGATCTCCGTGTCAACAGTTTGAATTTGTAATGAAATAGAAATTTATATGAACAATCCTTTCCATTCATGAAGAGTTGTTATATTTAGAACTTCTTGTAAAACGGTAGCACAAAACATCTAATATGTGTAATAGTCTATACACAACGCAAGCTTCAAATGCGCTAGTTTGCTAGAAACGGGTCACATGATAATATTGTACTCGACGATTTTTTTTGAACTTATAAATATCAACTTGAATGTATCCCAACCATGCGACTCAATAGAAGCTTGGTGGAAAGACAGCGTGGGTCATTTTCCAAATTCCAGTAGAGTAGTATTTACACAAAAAACGCGCATGGTCTCTATAAATTATATTAACATTTAAGATACATTTATTAAAGTCTATGTCTTGTGCTGACTTCCGTAGAATTCATCATAGGATTCATCATTGAACATGGCAAACTTACCATCCAGGACACGCGTTAATAGATCGGCCCGGTTACAGTCGTAGAATTAAACAGTCAATTACACTCTACGGAAAA